GTTGTGACTCCTAACTTCTCCCGAGGCAGTCCCGTTACAAATAGCTTGTTTGCTGGTTCTCATTCAGATACCACCATTCGAGTCACACTGGGTGGAATGCCAGTGGTCCAATTAAGGTAAAGTTATAAATTCCAAAAAAGGAAGGATTAATGGCATTCCTTCTGTAACTCATGGCTGAAGCTTTTACAATTCATTTATGTTTTTTATTTTCTTCCCTTAAACTGTACCTAACTAAGCCTCTCATGAGATGAGTGTTTTGGAGTTCATTAGATTCTCCCGATGGCAGTTTCTATTCTGCCTACCCAGGTTACAGATCAGGTAATAACATTAGAAGTGTTAGAAGTACCTAAAGTTTCTTGTTTCCTCTGGGCTGTCTTCATATTCCTAGGGGTGTCTTCTTCAAAAGTAATCCATTGATTCTACCGAGAGGAATTGTTTGAGACAACAACTGGTCTTTGCAAACAGAATTTTGGTGGAATGCGGACTACTTCTCTTAACAGTTTGGAGGATTAAGAATAGAATCGTTGAGCGCCACTTATCCTAAAAAGTTAAAATGCTGCTTTGCTTCTCAGAGTGACTCCCCAATGCTTTAAATCGTCCGTCCTAGGCTAGCGACACACGAGGAAGTGAGTAATTCCACCAACAGACTTGAAAACGCAACCAAGGCATGCTGCTCATTTAGACTTTTCTGTCTACCAAATATCTAAATCAGAGATGTAAAAGAGTTGATTTCTTAATTGTGATATTTGTATAAATAGTGTGGCTTATAAAGGTGAACTTCTTGTTATTTCTTTAAACCAAAATTAGTATTAATCCGAGGCGGAAAGGATAGTTTAATTTTTTTTTTTTTGCTTCAAATATTTTCCCACTCTTAAATCAGAAACTGAGAGTGTTCAGGCAACCTAATGGCTAAGTGAAGAATTAGGCATTTTCCATGACCTCTATTTTTGGAAAAACAACCAACTAGAAATCAGAATAGTTACCTGGTAACCTTAGCTTTGTGTGTCCAGATCTAGTCTTAATATTACTAATGAGACTTCCCATTTGATTGAAAAATCAATGAGAAGCAGCTTATGAGGTATATTTTCTTAACACTTCCCTCATGTTGCTTAGATCTCAATGAGACCTTCATGGACAAAGTAGAAACCCCCACGGCTGTCTGTCGGTCTCTCCTCCACAGTGCCCTGTGGGGTCCAGTCACTGACCTTTCAGTAAGAGCCAAACACTAGCCACTCTGCTTGGAGGACTCCTTTTCACTGGCGACAACTTCTTTTTTTTCAAATCATTTTATTGAGGGCTTGTACAACTCATCACAATCCATACATCCATCCATTGTGTCAAGCACATTTGTACATTTGTTGCCATCATCATTCTTAAAACACCTGCTTTCTGCTTGAGCCCTTGGTATCAGCTCCTCCTTTTACCCCTCCTTCCCCGCTCTCCCCTCCCTCATGAACCCTTGATAAGTTATAAATTATTATTATTTTGTCATATCTAATCTTTTCCCTTCACCCACTTTTCTGTTGTTTATCCTCCAAGAAGGAGGTTATATGTAGATCCTTGTAATTGGTTCCCATTTTCCACCCCACCCTACCTACACCCTCCCAGTATCGCCACTCTCAGCACTGGTCCTGAAGGGATCATCCATCCTGGATTCCCTGTGTTTCCAGTTCCTATCTGTACCAGTGTACATCCTCTGGTCTAGCCAGATATGTAAGGTAGAATTGGGATCATGATAGTAGGTTGGGAGCAAGGATTTAGGAACTAGAGGAAAGTTGTATGTTTCATCATTGCTACACTGCACCCTGACTGGCTCATCTCCTCCCCACGACCCTTCTGTAAGGGGATCTCCAGTTACCTACAGATTGGGTCCCCAGTCTACACTCTCCTCTTTCACAATGATTTGATGTTTTGTTCTTTGATGCCTGATACATGATTCCTTCGACACCTTGTGATCACACAGGCTGGTGTGCTTCTTCTGTGTGGGCCTTGTTGCTTCTGAGCTAGATGGTGGCTTGTTTACCTTCAAGCCTTTAAGACCCCAGACACTTTATCTTTTGATAGCTCGGCACCATCAGCTTTCTTCACCATGTTTGCTTATGTACCCGCTTTGTCTTCAGCGATTGTATTGGGAAGGTGAGCACACAATGATATGATCTTTTGTTCTTTGATGTGTGATACCTGATCCCTTCAGCACCTCATGATCACACAGGCTGGTATACTTCTTCCATGTGGGCTTTGTTGCTTCTGAGCTAGATGACTGCTTGTTTACCTTTAAGCCTTTAAGACCCCAGATGCTATATCTTTTGACAGCTGGGCACCATTAGCTTTCTTCACCACATTTGCTTATGCACCCGCTTTGTCTTCAGCAATCTCGTCAGAAAGGTGAGCATCATGGAATGTAAGTTTAGTAGAACAAAATATTCATGCTTTGAGGGAGTAATTGAGTGCATGTCCAATGTCCATCTGCTACCTTAATACTAAATCTATAAATATATGCTCATATATCTATTTCCCTATCCTCATGAATAAATATATTTACATACACAAATGCCTTTATTTAGACCTCCTAGACATGCATTGGCTGTAAATTCTATCATCATTTTAAAAACATTTCAAAGGGGAATTATAAGTCATCACATTATCGCTTTTTATTCATTATTCATTATTTATTTACTTACATTTTTATTGCATCTGCGTAGCTAAAATCAAATGTTATTAATCATTTTTTAAAATACTGTTTACCAAACTACTTTTAGGAAAAGCAATGTAAGTGCTCTTAGTATGTCCAGTTCTACTACTGTTTATTTATGGAAATGTTCTTCTTTTCTTTAAAAAATCTTTGAAGATGCCTTTTACCATTCTCACTGGTAGTATAAGTTGGTGTAGCCTCTCTGAACGACAATTTGACAGTTCACATAAAAATTGTAAATATAAAAAGCCTAAACCCTAGTCATTTTTGTCCTAGATACCGTGTATGCAAGGATACTAAAAAAATACTCAAAGATAGGTGTACAAAAATAATCACCAAGGCTAACCATTTGGAACATGGAAGACCACATATGTGTCTGTCATAGGGGCTTGGTGGGGAGTGTTGGTAGAGCAGTGGTGAAAGCACTTGACTGCCAACTGAAAGGGCAGCAGTTCAAATCCATCAGCTGCTCTGCAGGAGAAAGATGGAAGTTTGTATCTTTGAAGGTTAACCTACTGCATTTGTGTCGATTCCAATTCCTTAGGGGTTCCAAGACTAAAACTCTTTAGAGAAGCCTCATCTTTCTCTCTTTGAGCAGCTGGTGGGATCAAACTTCAAACTTTCAGTGAGCAGTACAAATCCTAACTCTGACAAACATCTTAATTAGCAGAAACAATCAAGGACACAGCCTTGGAACCCCTCTGGGGCAGTTCTACTGTGTCTTGTAGGGTTGCTGTCAGTTGGAATGAACTTGTCTGCAATGGGGTTGGTCTGGCGTGATTTAGGAACATGGTTGAATCATCACCCCCATTGCTGCTGTGGATGAGCTCCTAGTGTCCGAGTAGAATTGTGCCCCACAGGCTCTTTAATGACTAATGCTGTGGAAGCTCACCAGGGCCTTCTTTTGAGATGCCACTGGGTGAATCAAACCTTTAACCTTTCACTTAACGACCGAGTAGGGTTTTAATGCCTTAACAACACTGAAGGGCTCCATAGTTAAATAACCATCAGCATATATGTATTAGCAGTCACTGTGAAGAGAGAAGGTCTTGGAAAGAATATTCCATTATTTAAATGCTTGTAGATACTTTGGAAAAAAAACGAAATATTGCCTTTTTTTTCCCTAGGAAGATTGCTGCATTCCGTTATGGAAATGGTGCATAGGAAAGGGGTCTCTGGTGAGGCAGGAAGTAAGGGCTTCACCCTCACACCTGCCTCTTGCTCAAACACACTCCTGCCATGTGGCCCCACTTCCCAGGGAAAAGGGCACCTTTTTTCTAATTATCACACAGGTACCATTTGGACTGGTGGCCTCTTTGTCTTTCTGGGCTACCTTTTGTGCACTGAGTTCACAACCCATGGTGACCTCATGCACAGTGGAACCGAGAGCTAGCTGGTCTGGTGCCAACTCCATGGTTTGTTACAGACCAGACGACACTGTTGGGATTCACAGGGTTTTTAATAGGCTTATTGTTTTTATTGACAAAAGTAAACTGCCAGGTCATGCTCCCGAGTCAGTTTGTTTAGAAGCCCCACCGAAAATGTTCAACCACATAGCAAGATGCAGGGATCCACCAACAGCCAGGTGATGGCTATGCATGAGGTACACTGGCAGGGCTCTTCTGGATCACGTGGTAGGTGTGAATTTCCTACCAATGATACCACCCTGACGCTACAGGGCCCAGAGGGTGGGTGTCCGATATGGGTGTATGGGTGGTGTGGGTGACTAGCAGTGAACCACTTTCACATTTTAGATCATATACTTTTGACAACATTGGCATGGTTTTTGAAGATGAAAATAGTACAAGTGTAATTTACAGGGAAGTATGAAAATGAAATAGCACAGTGATCCAGGAGACAGAATTAAAAAAACATCTGAAGCATCAGACGTACTGTACAAAGAATCCTCCTTTGGCAGTCAAGCTTGATTTTCCACCAGTGAGAAAAACCAGTGCTGTAATATATGTACTGTTAATATTTCAGATTAAAATCTGGAGCCTAAGTGTCAGGGTTTCTCAAGGGAGGGGAGGGGAAAAAAAACAAAGAAGGATTAAAAGTGGGAAGGTTCCTTGAGGCAAACCAAATACCTGCCAGAGAAACATGTTCACAGGATCAATTAAGGAGGTGAGAATGGGCACTGTGGAGCCGGAGAGCAGAACTCTCCAGTCTCTGCTAGCTCACACGCAGCGTTTCAAGAGCCTGAAATGAAGCCGTTTGATTTGTGGGGGAAGTTTGCAGAGACTTCCACCTGGAAATCCGCGTGCGCGCGCGGCACTACATTAATTTAACTTCACCTCTTATGTGCTAGGTGATGGTGGCTGAAGCCCTAGACATCTCCCGAGAAACCTACCTGGCGATTTTGCTGGATCGGTCCTCCAACGGCCCTGTTCTGGTGGGCAGTCCCCAGGGGGGCATTGACATTGAGGAGGTGGCCGCTTCTTCTCCAGAACTTATTTTTAAGGTATGTTCGAATGACTGCCTGCATGGTGTCACCTGGTGGTTAGTGTGGAAGCTGCCATTTAATGTGGAGTCTGAGGCTGGCAGCGCTAAATCTGTGTCTGTGCGATTCCAGGTGCCCAGTGGAAGATTGAGTGGTAGGGTGTGCTCTGAGTAGTAGACTGACTCCTAGCACCGTCTCAGACAGCGTAGAACCACTGTCTGGGTTTTCTATGCTGTGTCTCCCCGCCCTCACCCCCACCCCACTCCCACGCTGTGGCTGTTGAGAAGGCCCGCAGCAACAGGTCCTTCCAACTGCTGTACAGTTTTGTGACATCGATGACGTTTGGAGTTGTGCAACTATTCTCCTGCTCCTTTTCTGAGGTGTCCCTTTCCCCCTGGAGGTAAACTCACGACACCCTGAAGTTCCTGTCTAACCTTCGGACTTGCTTTTGTCAAGTGACTCCCATCTAGATTGTTTTTCAATGAGCATGATGCTCAAGGCAGCCCTGCTGTATCTGTTGTTAGCCTAACTGGGTTTGGCTTAGGAGCACTGGTGGTGTAGTGGTTAATAGTTGAGCTGCTAACTCCAAGGCCGGCGGATTGAAACCACCAACAGCTCTGCAGGTGGAAAACGAGGCTTTCTGTTCTCATGAAGAGTTACCCTCTCAGAATCCCATGGGGGCTGTTCAACGCTGTCCTGTAGTGTCACTGTAAGTTGGCATTCACTCAACGGCAGTGCGTTTGGATTCTGGGTTTGGGATTGTTGAAGACAAGTTCAGGGCATCTTTTTGGTTTAAGGTTCAAAGATGCTCTCGGGGCATTCGTTTCAGAGCCCTCTTCTGGAGCAGGTTGCTAAGCCGTTTCTCCCACAGAGCTGCTCTGGGGATTTGAACAGGTGACGTTTCTCAGTGGTAGAATTAGTGCTCTAACCACCGCACCCTGAAGGATGGTTCCCAATAGTCACTGCCATCGAGTTAGTTCAAACTCATAGTGACCCTATGTGGGGTTTCTGAGGATTGAGATCTTTCTCTCCTAGAGTGGTTGCTGGGTTTGAACTACTGACCTGATAGCTAACAGTTCAGTGCTTACTTAACATGCTTACTTAACAGCACCGACAGGGCTCCATGAAGACTGGGTGGAATCGAGAAACACACTGTTCAAATGCATCGGCAGGGCCTGTTGCTGCGGGCCTTCTCAACAGCCACAGCATAAAATATAGATGTGGGGTGGGGGTGAGGGTGGGGAGACACAGCATAGAAAACCCTGACAGTGGTTCTACGCTGTTTTGCTTCCCCAGTTTTCTTCCTGAGCTCCTGTCTCACTTGCCTCAAGAATTAAGCTGTGGGAGAGGGTTGTGCTAGTTCCGTTTCCTCTGGGTTCACTCACTGTTGGTAGCAGAGCAGGACTCTCATTGGTATAAAAGAATCTTTCCAAAGTCAAGATTCTCTCAATCTGTTGCAGTTCTTGACATGGTATTCCTTTTATTGATACTAAGATCCATTTCTACTAAGGGGATCTGAGTTCAAATCCCACCTAACCTGCGCATTTCTAAATGTCTCTAACCTCGTGCTTAAAATCAAGAAAATGGAAATGGAGGTACTTCCCACCAAGTAGAATAGTGAGGATTCAATGAAGTAATGCGTAGAAAGTGTTTTCTCCGCTACCTAAGAATATTCTATAAGAGGGAAACCCTACAGTCTTTAGCACTGAAGTTCTAGATATCAATTCTAAGTTCTTAGTGTTAAAAAATCCCATTTAAAATTTCTAATAGAAATCCCTTTTTAAGAATGAGATTTTTCTTTTTTCTTCACAAAATGGGAATTTCATTTTTTGAGTCTCCTTTTCTAGATCATTTATTCATATTTGGTGATTGGTTTCGAAGTATTTTCATTACTATTGCTTATGTCATTTAATCACCTGTGCAGTTAGATTAGGACATCACATTGTGATTTACCAATAATACCGGACCATTTTCAGAATTGGCATCATGTAAAACAAACTGTCCTACAGTTTAAGAGAATGCATGAAGTGAGAAATGAGCACCCCCAGATGTCTTCTGGGAGCATGGTTCTTTGTTAGAACTAAATCTTTATTAGTAGTGATCATCAAAAATAAGGTGTATACATCATAAGGTAATATTTAACCTGTGTATGACAAGTTCTGTACTTGGCAGTAATATTAGACAGGCAAACCTTAATTTGGAAGTTTTCCAAAATATGTCATAAAAATTAACTGACTAAATATTCTTCAGTGCCATCTGTGTAGTAATTAAAAGTGAAAACTGGCATCAGATTGTCTTGTCAGCATGCCACCCGGAAGAATTATATAGTTTTTGGAAGGGCTGTTCCATAGATGGTCTGCTAATGAAAACATACCCTATAGGCAGCTGAGAGAGCCCTGCTCCGAGAGCCCTGGAAAGGTGCCATGCTCTAATTACTCATTTGCAAATATATACTAAGCACTTTCTTTTGAGGTAAATCTTTTCATTTGACTGTCCTAATTTCATTTATTGGAATCATTTTTCACTAGGAGAAAATTGACATTTTTGAAGGGATGAAGGACAGCCAAGCTCAGCGAATGGCAGAAAATCTAGGCTTCCATGGACCATTGAAACATGAGGTATATGAGTGATTGGAACACAGGGGGTCTTTTCAGAAAACCTGGGGGAACTGGCTGAATTGCTCATAGTCTATGTAAAGACGACACATTATTATTATTTATGGTCTTATAATTTTTCTTCTAATTGTTTATGATGAGCAAATGTATATGCCTGGTATTCTTAAAGAAGATGTTTGTATCATGACATGGGATTATTAATCAAAATGTGCTTGTATTAGCTGTATATTTGTACCTACAGTTCAAGGGTATATGTGCACGTGCATATGTGCATGGTGTGCCCACATACTGTTATGTTGTATTTGTTGGTATGTCTCTCATTTTTTCCCTCTACCAGTACAGGTCCAGCTGCAATATTCTAAGACAGTGGAGTGGTTAAAGGTGCACAGTGTAGAGACAGACAGATCTGAGTTTGAATCCCATTACTGCCACCTACTACATCTGCAGTTCAGTCCCCTGAACGTCAGTTTCATCATCCGTGAAATGGGAATGATGGCAGCCCTTAGCTGAGAGAGTTCCTGTGAGGATTGAGGGCAATGACTTGTGAAAGCACTTATGACTGTACTCAATAATGGTTAGTTTCTATCAGCAATACATACTACTTAACTAATTGCTATTTTTTTCCTAGCTAGTGGGCAATTGAAATGAATATTAATGGCACTACGGTAATATCTCACGGAAAGACCTTAATATATCCCAGTTTAGGAATGATAGCCCATGGCTCCTAAGAAAGAAACATTCGTCTCAAAGATGTTTTGGAAAAGAATTTATTTTGATCATCCCAACCCTGCACTGCCCTAGCGTGTCCGTGGAGCCTGAGTGTATTTGGCAGCTAAATCAGGAAAAACTTCAGAGGGTTGTTTCCCTCTGTTGTGATTCAGGCAAGCCACCTAATCACCCTGGAACTGTGTGTGTATGTGTGTGTGTATAGAGAGAGAGAGGGAGAGAGAGAGAATGAATGAATATCTGGGACTCCATGATGTTTACACTATTTTTCTTAGAATTTTGCTGGACAGCACTACTTTAATTGTAGATTTTGCATTTTTTTCGTTGCCTTTATTTTATTTTGATTGGCTCCATTTCTGGGAGTTTGATTGTGAAAATAAAGCAAGTCCATAGGAGTAAAGTCAATAAAACTTTAAAAAAATATATGTGTGTAAATAAAGAGCAAATAGTGCTCATTTGAAGGTGGGAGGAAAGGCTCCCTGAGGACATACAAGAGCCAAGATGGTAAGAATCAATTGGAACAAGTAATTTTTGTTTTTAAGATTAGTGACAAAGATTGTCTTTTGCTGTAAAAAAGAGATGAGACAATTCCAGAAAATGAGCCTACTGATTACATTAGCCTACTGCCGCGGTCGTGGTCACCCAGGGTCACCGTGCTCTGCAGGGAGTTCAGGGTGTGCGTCCTAACCCTGTTACTGTACAGATCTGTACCCCTCTCACTGGTGCTGCCTGCGTTGGAGCCTGGCCGTCACCGCAGCAGGGAGTTTGCCCTTCTGTTCCCTGTTCTGTTTCCAGTGTCCGGACGACCCCTTGGCATGCCTGCCAGGTGTTCAAGAAGCAGTTGTCCTACAAGTGAGTAAGTGAGACAACACACCAAGGATGCCAAGTCTGAAGAGATTTCTTGTTCTTTTTTTATTTTCTTATTTGAAGAGATTTCTTACGAGTCAGCAAGAAATGGCTCTGAGTAGCAGAATAAACTGGGGGTCAGCAAAAAACAAACAAACAAAACTGACCCCCTAGGTTTGAAAGCTCAGGAGGTCAATCTGATTGACAATTCTAGAGGGAGCAATAATAGTATTATTTGAGCATGACAGGATATGCCCTCCTCCATATTATGAAAAAAAATTAAGAGCTATTTATGGCCCTTAAATGACTTAATCATGTTTCTCCAGACCCTGAAACACTCTGGTTTTACATTAGTTACCTACGGAAGGAAGATGAGCATGCGAGTACTCAGAGGTCATTAAGGAGCTGTAACTCACAAGATGCAGGCAAACATTAAAGGAAAGCCATTTAAAAATTATTTCCTTCTCTTTCCAATGCCAGCTCTATAAAAGGCTTTACATTGTATTCACTCAGCAGACACAGAGTAAACACTGAGGGGGCACTTGGGACTGTACAAAGCCCTGGGGACACACAGACATGGGAAAATGGGATTGGTTCATAGGGGGCTCACAGAGGCTGTTGGCAGTGTTTACCAACATGGTGAATCCAGGAAGGGGAGCCACACAGCTAGTGGGAAGGAGAGACGGAGAGAGGGGTGTTGGTCTCAGAGTAGGCATGTTGGAATGCAATCATCTCAGGATACCTGAGTTCATCCGTACAGTAGACAGTAGGGTAGCCGGTGCTGGAGGTGAAGGAATGATCTGGCTTGAATTGTAGCTCTGAGAATGTCTACTCGGTGATGATTCCTCAAGCCAGGAGGATGTATGGAACGTTCCAGACAGCTAGTGTGAGTGAGGACAGCAGATGCCCACACTTACGAAGGTTTTTAAATGATCATCAACTTCTGATCCTTTGATAAGAAGTGGTTTCAGTCCATTAGATTCAACATGACTTTGAAAATTAGTTAATTTATACCTGGGATGTGGTGTCAGCATTGGGAGGTGCCTCTCTCCTGGATTCTCCTAATCTCAGAGAATGATTGTCCTATGAAACTATTCATATCTTTCCTGTGACTCATGCTTCCTGCTTGTAAAACAGGGCCTCTTAATGGTTATCTTCACAAAAATATCATGTTCCATAAAACCTACTGCGTGTATATTTCTGGCTAAAATCCATATCAATAAGAATCATGAAAGCCACAAAAGACGATATGGCTAACATTGCAAACGTTTCTCAGTTGTACCTTAATTCTCATCTATGGGATTAATCTTTGAAAGCATAACCTCCACAAATTTCCAACATGTCCCTCTAAGATTTAACTGATAGAAATCTATGGACTAAGTTAGAATAAGACCTCAACCCCTCCCCTACCGGGGAATGTTGGTGCCTGTGGTTAGCGTGAGAAACTTATGGCCATATTGATGGTATTACTTTCCAGAATGCAAGAAGAGCATTTGCATTTTCAGAAATCTGTTGAAGCAGTTGTGAAGGTACTTACACATATTCAGGATTTCATGTATATGGACCAAGGGTATTATTAAGTTGTAGGCATTATAATTGGCTAACAAACACCTTTCAATCAGCACTAGCTGATAGCACAGGGAAAGAAGACAAACTTTATGTCAACAGTGGTTACTAAGAGCATGGGGGCCAGTAGCAAACGGAGTGACTGCAGGAAGCAATGGGATGTTTTCTTTGACCTGTGTTTGCTTTAATGAGAACACATGTACAGGACAGCTGAACTAAAGTGGACTTCCCCCAGGTTTCATGATTCCCTGTTAGTCACCAGATCAGACCGCTATATTTGCTTGCCTTGGACAGTTAAGTCTCTTGGGAGATGGCATCTTCTATTTCTAGGCCAAGCTACTTGTTCCTTGTTCCAAATTTTATTTATTGCTGTTGTTGACACCATATAGAGCAGACACCAACTTAACAGGTGTGTGCACTTCAGTGCACTGATGACACTGTTCAAGGTGTACAGGCATGCTCACCTTCCCTCTGTTCCTCTCCAGTGACCATCAGCTCACTACTTCCTAAGGTCCCTGTCTTAACTTTTGAGTTGCTGTTGTTAATTTGATCCCATACAGATCTGAATAGAGCATGAGTCTCATGGCAGATCTTTTTCCCCCACAATACTTCAAATTGTTCATTTTTAAGAAAACCTTTGGGGATATTTTTGGCTTAAGTGTTGATGATTATCTGAGGGTAATCATTTCAAGGGTTTTACCTAGTTTCCATGGCTCCAAAAATCTGGATTGAAATTCTGTTCTAGATTTCCCCCGTCCCTCCCCCTTGATCAGATTGTTCAAGGAGGTAGTTGTTCATGGAGGCAATTAGCCATACAGTCCACATCCTCCTCCATTCCTGCCTCTCCGTGTTTTGTTAAAGGTGAATAGAGACCAATTGTTAGGACTTGGATGGCCACTTGCAAGCTTTTAAGACACCAAACACTATAGCATAACGAGGTGATAGCATAGAAGCATTAAATACAATACTAGGCCAGTTAACTGGGATGTCTCATGAAACCATCACCCTGAATCTTCAAACCATGGAGTGAAATCCCATAAGCTATTTGTGCAGAAGTAGTGTTAGCAGACTTTTTTGGTTGTTTTAAATATATCACATAGCATTTCCTAATTCAACTTTTTACCGATATACAGTCCATTGATATAATTTATATTAATTGACTGTATAGGCTTAACAATTCTTAATCAATGTAAGTTTTCCATCACTGTAAACCACCATATATACTCAAGTATAAGCCGACCCAAATATCAGCTGAGGCACCTAATTTTTTTTAAATCATTTTATTAGGGGCTCATACAACTCTTATCACAATCCATACATACATCAATTGTGTAAGGCACACTTGTATATTCATTGCCCTCATCATTCTCAAAACATCTGCTCTCTACTTAAGCCCCTGACATCAGCTCCTCATTTTTTACCCCTCCCTCCCTGCTCCCTCCTCCCTCATGAATCATTATTTTGTCGCATATTCACTGTCCGACGTCTCCCCTCACCCAACTTTTTTGCTGTCCTCCCTAGGGAGGAGGTTATATGCAGATCCTTATAATCAGTTCCCCCTTTCCATCCCACCATGCCTCCACCCTCACCACTGGTCCTGAAGGGATAATCCTTCCTGGATTCCTGTGTTTCCAGTTCCTATCTGTACCAGTGTGTATCCTAGCCAGACCCACAAGGCAGAAAAGGGATCATGAGAGAGTGTGTGTGTGTGGTGGGGGGAGCAGAGAAGAAAGCATTTAGGAACTAGAGGAAAGTTGTATGTTTCATCATTGCTACGAGGCACCTAATTTTACCACAAAAACTGTATTAAAAATTTGCTGAAAACTCAGCTTATACATGAGTATATATGGTATTAGATTTCATAATGTCCTTTGTAGATGTTGTAACACAGATCTAATCATACTCATGGTCTGCTCAAAAATATATTTGATCTGTCTTTGCACCATGATAAAAATTATAATAGCAAACATGCTATTAATGTAAAACTAAGAGGCTTTAACATGCAGAAAATTCAGACTTAATGTTAAGCAGTTTGATGGAGGCTTATGAAATTTGGAGTACCTGCAATAAAATTATATATTTAAAGGGGCTTCAGAAAGTTTGTGGTCTTACTTTCTACTAACATTTTGATGCCCCCTCAGTTGTATATATTGTTAATTCCACCAATATTTATGACCTGTTGACTTTGGACAGATGCCATGTAACTGTAAGAGAGGAGACAGGGTACCTCTCCCATCTGGCTCCCATTGCATTTTACTAACCTAAAAAACTAGAAATGTGTGAAGAATATTCCACTGTGAGTTATTTGTGTGCTTTACCCTTTAAGGCCTCAACAATTTTACCCAGAATAAAGATAAATAAAAGTTAAGTCTAAAGAAAAGGAATCATATACAAAGGCAGGATGATGTCAGAAAGGGAGGAGCCTTTTCTATCTCTGACACTTAAGTAGACAAGCCATGAAAAAAGGACTGATCAAATTTCCGTATTGTAGAAATACCAAAAATATGGTCAGAAGGTAAATGTCAACGGGGAGAAATATTTACAATTCATACAGAGATGAAGATCTAATTTCCTTCCTGTAAAAAGACCTGTAAATCAGTAAGAAAGAGACCAAAATCTCAATAAAAAATGGCTAAAGTTCACAGAAAAAGAAATATGAATGGCTCTTTAGCTCATAAAGCAGTCCTCCAACTCCCTCATAAAGAGAAACGTTCAAATTAAGCTGTGTCTGAGATACCTTTTTTCACCTAATGCATTAGCAAAATACAAATGAGTATTGGTTGTAAGAAGAGAAGCTCTGATACTGGGACTGGGAGTCGAAATTAGGGACAACTTCTACCAAGAGTATTTAATAATATTTACAAACAGTGGCTTCTTCCTCCGAGTGGGGAGCCGTGTCCTTCTTCCTTGTCTGTTATTAGTCTCAAAGCTCCGCTGACACCTGTCCATTTTGCGTGACCCTGCTGGCATTGAAATGCCAGTAACAGAGCTTCTAGCATCACAGCAGCACACCAGCCACCACAGTACGACAGACTGACAGACAAGTGGTTGAACTTGTCTTCCAGTTACAATTTAAAATAAAGTGTGGTACTTCCATACAACAAGGTATGCAGCCATTTACAAGGATACGACAGTGAAGCAATAAAGTGTAAAGCCATGCATATACTGTGCTGTCATTGGATTTTTGCTAGGCGACAAGCACACATAGTTACACGGCATAGGCTCCCACTAGGATGAAACTGGCAGGGGTTTGGCGGAAGGGGAACTGGGTTATGCCGGGGGCTGAGGAGTGCTTTCAGGGCTCAGAGGGAGACCAGTGTGGAACTTTAGACTTTTGTGGCATGTGTACATTTAATCAAGCAAGAAAAACAATATTTAAAAGTCTTAGTTTTCATGTATGCCTGTTTATACACACTGGATTTCAAATGAGGATCTATGGAAGTTCGCAGAAATACAAATATGCTAAGATAAGAATTGAATCCATAGCCGTTCAGTCAGTCTAGAGCAAAGAGATCACTTCTTTTAGGGAATGGTTTATAGGTGCTAGGAGCTGTGGAATATTCACAGCACTGAGAGAGGCAATCGAGGTTTCAACTGCAATAGGAAATTGTTAGTACTTTTAGGCTTCAGGGACCCTCTGAAGTGGTGGTATGTATGACTCAATGTGAAGAAGCAGATGGGGGAACCCTGGTGAATCACTCTGCTGGGAGGTAGAACCAGAGGAGGAAATGCTGCCCAAGGGCCAAAAGAGGGGCAGAGACCTACCCCGGTTTTCCTCTTCCTCCCACCTCTAGTGCCATGCCATTGCTGCCCACAGGTCAAACCTATCTGGAGGACTGTGGATCCTGCAGTCCTGGAGGTTCCGCTGAAGAAGCCATGTCCCTGGAGTCCCAGAGTGGAGGTGGGGGAAGATTAGAAATAGACCCAGTAACAAATATTGCCGGGCTGGGACAACGAACAAGTGTGGCAAAGGAAAAGGCACATCCGGAAATGGGACGGCCGAAGAATGTGATGGCTGCCCAGTCCTAGATGTCGCAGCCTTTATGCTTTGTACCACAGGCCCTGCTGCTTGTAGCTCTGGGCTTGCTGCACACCATCCATCGTCCCTGCTCACGTGGCGTGACATAAGTAATTCACAGATGTTAAAAAGAAGACACAAGAAAGTGAGTGAATACTAAGAGTGAAAAGACTGAGTGCAGGGACACAAATCTGGGAAACCTTGGATTTTCTTGTCCTTTGTAGTGTTTGTTTTGGGGGACAAGCTATTTCCCTTTGTAGCTCTGCTGTTCAGTAACTCTGTTGTTGAAGACTTTTGTCTTTCTGTCTTGTAACCATTTCAATCAGACACTTGGTAATTGTTTCACAGAGTATGCGTTTTGATTGATGAATATAATAACTGTTTTATTCCAGCATAATAAGAAAAATCTGGTTGTTATAAACTCTCAAAATCATGTTTACCTTTTACTTAGATGGAGCTTGTTTGTATTAATGATTTTAGCTCTTCTTGCAGCATAACCAGGCTAATGGAGACGTGATAATTTGCAAAAAGATTAACAACTGTTTTAGCCCTCAGTGAAAATATTTTGTTTTCTTGATAATGGTCTCTTCTATTGTCTGGAGGAAAGTTGAGCAATTCCTTCTAATGAATAGCTGTGGAAATTAAAATAATTATGCTTTTTCTGTTTTTCCCTTTAGGAAGCCTAAGTGAAAATAAAGATGTATCTTACTATTTTCAAGATTTCATTAATACAGCAAAATAAATTTTCTTTTACTGCCTTGATGTAATTCTGTTTTACTTGATCACATTTAGGCTGCAGATCAAATTAAGAAGCTGTATAATCTCTTCCTGAAAATTGATGCTACTCAGGTGGAAGTGAATCCCTTTGGTGAAACTCCAGACGGACAAGGTAAAACAAAATGGAGAAAACAAATGAATATATTATAATTATTTATGCAAACTATAAATTAAATTTCACAAAAGACTCTAGCAGCAGTTTTGCATTCATTTCTTTCAGTAATTTAATCGCTGCCATAGTTTCAAATGCTCCCACGATGCAGTTGAATGTTTCAGTGTTTGGCTCTATTTGCAGCCAAATGCCAGGCCTCGGAGGAAGCAGCCTTTTGTTTGACTAGAAACATCCATTTGCCTCTCCTCCTTTTTCAGGTCATCACTGCTGTCTCTGTGATGAAGATGTGGGTGGTGTTAGGAGTTGCTGAACTTGAGTGTATTGAATGAATCTCTTTTTGTAGGACCAGTACTTTCGGAAGTATGTTAGCTTACCGGAATCTGTACATGATGCACCATGTGCCCCTGCTGGAGTCATATGATCCCAGTGATGCTAGTCCTGCCCCAAAGGCTAACTCTTTTTTTTTTTAATTAGTCAGTACCATTTTCCTCAGATGTGCCAGGTATTCTTTTTTTTTTTTAAAAAACATTTTATTAGGGGCTCATACAACTGTTATCGCAATCCATACACACATCAATTGTGTAAAGCGCATTTGTACATCATACTCAAAACATTTTCTCTCCACT